GTTTTGAGCTCACACACCTTCTGCAAGGCATGTCCCCCTCATCTTGCATGCCCTGTTTTTTTCTGTTTTCTGTACTCTATAAAACCTTGTGTTGGGAAAGTCTGAGTGGTGGCAAAACGTAACATCAGCCAGCCACCACTGGTGTGGCCTATCTGCAGGCCAGATGGGACTTAGCAGGACAACTTCAATGGTGGCAGCTGGTGTGGTGGTAAACTTCACTAGTAAGCCATCACCAGTGCACACGTAAGTCCTAATTAACCCAAGAAAGTCCTCTGGATTTTCTTTGGAATCCACAGACAATATGCTGAGGTTTTCTGGGGCCATAGCACTTTGCACAACCACTACAATATTAGATTTCTCAATCAATGAACACTGCATTTAGGTCTTACTTAATATCTTGATAAAATTTTATATTCTTTATAGAAAGTCTTGAACTTCTTTGTTAATTTATTCCTAGGTTTTGATACTTTTGATGCTAATAAACATTGTCTTGAAATTTTTATTTTTCAACTATTTCTTATTCACATTCAGAGAAGAAATTTAGTTTTGTATTTTGTAGTTTTTATATTTAGTAAACGACAAATTCTCATATACTATTTTAAAACAAATTGTTGATTGTTTTGGATTTTCTATACACAAAGACATAAAATATACAAGCAATTATATTTCTTTTCTTTTACTTCTTAATCTTTTATTTATATTTATTTCTGGCCTTGACACAATGGCTAGAAACTCTGATAAATGTGTTGAAAACAATGATGGTAATAGGCATACTTGCTTTTTTTCTGGTTGCAAAAGAAAGCCCTCAATCCTTTTACCAGCAAGTTTTTCTGTTGTTTTTTCCCCCTAGTAGGTAATATTAATCAGATTTAAAGAGTACAGGTTTCCACTCCAAATGTACTATAAAGTTTTTGTTATGAATGGATTTTGAATTTTTTCAAAAATTTTCCAGCCTCTTATGATTTTATACTTTAATATACTGTCAATGTACTGGGTTTCATTAATTTGTTTTCCAACATTGAGATAATCTTGTGTAACTTGGGTAATTCAACTTGGTCTTGATTCTTACCACCTTTACACATTGCTAGATTGGATTTGTTAAGTTTTGGCTTTGGATATTGGCAATTGTATTAATTTCTCAAACCTGATAAGGGAATTTGGCCTTCTTTCTCCTTTGCCACAGGTTTGTTAATTTTATTGTTTTTTTTTTTCAAATAATCAAATGTTGGGAGTTTATTTCTTACTAAATAATCTATATATTATTTCAAAAAATGGTAAGTAGATAGAGGAAAAGTGTCCACCTTTCTCTGACATTATCCCAACTTTTTATACCAACTATACTACTGGGTAATCAAATATTGGTTGACGGAAAATTTATCTGTTTTAAAAGTATTCCACATAGAACTGATGATTGATAGAATATCACCATTTTGTAATATCTACTTAATTAATGGATCTATTCTAGGCATTGAGCAACAGTGGCCATGAACATAAAAAAATGAGACAGCTAGACATTTTGTGTCTCTTAATGGAGGAATACAATACCAACCTGTGAATCAGGCCAAATCTGTAGAGCAAAAGACCAAGTGACAGGCAATACTGAGGCAGGGGAACTCATTAGCTGCATTCTGAGTATGCAGTCAGCAAAATACAGATTTCAAGGAACGCCACAGGTAGAAAGAGCAAGTTTCTTCAAAAAATAAGACTCACTGAAAATGAAAGGGTGAGGAGGAGAATATGTGGATTAAAAGAGGCTTAGACAACATTAAAACAAACACACACAGGAAAACTAGACTAGGGTTTACCAGGGAGGTGTCAGCTATAAACTAGGAAATAATTATCATAAATATCAAGATAGTGGCTGCATTAAGAGGTTGGAGGGACTTGTGATAGGAATGGATTAAATTGAGGTCTTATGAGATGGTTGGCTGAGTTCAATTTCTTGATCTGAGTGGTGATTACAAGAGTATCTTACATATAATAATTTATCAAGCTATACATTTAATTGTTTTCTGTATCTATGCTGTGTTTCAAATATGTTTTAAACTGGGTGAGTAAATGTATTGATGATATACTTTTACAGAAAATGTTCCAAAATATTGCATTTATATATTAAATATCAGTTTATCAAGTTAACCACAAGAAGTCAAGGTTGATATTTTCAATATTTATTAGTAAGGCTGAGGCAACAGCCTTTAAACAGCACAATTTGCATAAATTATCAAGATACATCTTGTTTACTATCACAAAACCAAGACATATGTTCACAGAGTAAAACTCAAGACAGATTTACAAGCATTTTGAAATTCAATTCTCATGTATTTCAGCTCAATTTATACAACCTTTAGCCCAAGAATTTGTATTTGTTCATTAGTTTTTTCCAGAGAGATTTGGGTAGAACAGAAAAGAAGAACACATTAGCAAATCACCAACATGGCATGCAACATATAGTTAGAAACAAGACATATTTCCAAGTATTTTATTTTTTATTTTGAAATAGATTTTATTAGGTTTTTATTTTTTCAGACAAAATTTTTTTTCCCTTTAACATCAGATGTGTTTTTGTTAGGATATCAGCACACACATTAATCGGTAGTGGGAGCACCTGAGCACATCACCAACAAATATAGACACAGTCAAACAATAATCATAGTCACATGCTGAATGCCAAATGAAATGAATACTTCAACTTTGTCTATTTTATCAAGTGTATAGTTATATACAAGGTAACGAATTAAGAAAATGCTCTCAATCTACCTATCAGATAAGGAATCATTTGACTAAATGATTTAGATTTAATGGGAATCTTTAACTGTAACAACAACATGGAACATACAGAACATATCAATGTTTTATATTTAATGAGAAAATCTATTTCACTCATTCATTCTTGTATTACATCAAAGGCAAGTAATTATTAAAGAGATAGCTCATAATTATTCATTGAGTTTTCTTTCACTTCCATCTTAAGCTCAAAATAGGGAAAATCACTCTGTCACACTTAGAGTTATAAACATATACAGCTGTAGTCGGCTGATTTTGGAATATTAGACATTGTAGCAATGAAAATAAGTTTTTAAAAATATTGTTAGTTATGATTTAAATAAAGTAAAAAAATACTATAAACATCTTTATGATATCTTAATGAAATGAAACATTGATCAAATAATTTCTAATAAATTGGGCACAATATAGTATATAATTTTAATTTACTTCACATCACCACCAACCTAGTGTCACTATGGCTATCACCACTGTCATCACAACCGTTCGTAGAATAAGAATCAATATCAGCTGGTTACCAGCTATAATAGTCCCACAATATGAATATTTTAATGTGTGTGATCCACAAAATTAATTCCACTAATATGTTGAAAATATGCTTTTATTAGTGTGAGTAATTACAATATGGGCAACATTAAGGAGCAAAGCAATCACTGCCCCTTAGTCTTAGATATTGTTCTTTTAAACTGAAATGGTAAATAAAAAATTCAGAGTCACCAAAAATCTCCTTTATCTTAAGCAACAATGGAAAACGTCAACTTTTTGCAACTAATGTTATTTATGTCTGCAACAACCATTCTGTAAATGCCTGTCTTTTGTGAAAATTCACTCTGTGCTTTTGCTTCTACAGCTAACCAGTGTTTAGGACCAAATTTTAAACCAAGAAGCAACTTCAGTCTCTGATGACTCAATGAAACTGGGAAAAATTAAGATGCTTTTCAAGGTGTAAGAGCAGTGATTGGACTAATCACATGTTATTTAGAGATTACAAACTTTGTCACTATTAGGATTTTAAAAAAGCTAATTCCAATAAAATAAAATAAAAAGTGAAAAATCATGTGCTGTGATATATACAAAAAAAGTAAAAAACACCAAGAGCCCTACTTGCAATTAAAAAAAGAAATTGTTTTGTTGTTAGAAGGGTTATCAACATCATTCGGAAGTGCATTCCTGTAAGGATCAGTGTTGCATAGAATAGTTCCAGTACAACCTAGGAGTTTGGTTAGCTGCACTCTTGGCACACTTTGGCAGGATCTCATGCTCTCTGAGGGGGGATGCTGGTGCACAAAAAGAAGCCCTGTTGTTAACTCTCTTGATTGACCTGCCCTCATTACCAGTTCCTTGGAACAGAGGGGCACCTATAATGGAAAAACTCCTCTTACAGGTCAAATAGCTACCAAGGGATGATCTTTGTTTTGGTGGCACCTTCAATTGTGTTATTCTAAAAGAAATTGCAACAACTGGAATAAAGTAAACTAACTGGTTATACAACCTCTCAGGCATCCCTCTGGATGTAAGTGGCTGCAGAAGAGGACCTAAGGTGAGCTCAAGTTCCCTTTTAAGGGAAAATAGCCGAGTCTTTTTATGTCAGAAGGAAATCTTTCTGAATCCTTTTCTTCCCCAATTATGAATGATGATCATCAGCTTCCTAAAGAGCTAACTTCTCCTGGAAATATCCATGGCAACCATCAACAGATATAGTTGTCTCTAAAAATAAAATCCTAGGAATATCAAATCTTTAGTGATCCCCTCCCTACATGCTCATTCTAAAGAAATATCAGTGGTAAAGGACATTGCATTGTCAGGGAAGGAAAGATAAAAAATAGAGGAAAGAATAAATGACTATTATCTCCTTTAGACTGAGGAAGAGTAAATTTGTATTTTTTTATTAATATAATAAAGATATATAACCTGGGATTCATTAGAAATTCTTTTAATTTTAATGTTTTACATTTAATCAGTTCCTCTTGAATTTAAAGTATACTTTTCTTTTAAAAAGAAAATTCAATATCCAAACAATATATTTGGAGATGATTTCTCTAAACCCACTAAAACCACACCTTTCAATAAAGAAGCAGCTTTTAAACACAGAATGCTCTGAGAAGCAATTTAATTAATTTATTTTGGGGTAGGGCAAGGGAATAGGATAAAATCAGTATGTTGTTTAATTTATAATAACCCAATTTGCAAGTAATTTTTATTTAATTCTATTCTTCACCTCTTTTCAGGTTAAATGAAAATTTATATTTTAAAGAAAAATTTAGTTTTGGAACTAATATACTGCTCTTATCCAGGTTAATGTGTGCCATTGGTTAGGAGGATACTTTTTTGCATATAAAATTTGAAAAATAAAAAGCTGCATAATAATTATTCCTCATTTATGTGTATAAAACTATACTTGGAAATGTGCTTTCATTTTCTCACAGATCACTTAGTTTGGTCATCCTAACATCCCATTAGGAAGCCTAGAAATACATAATTTCTTTATCCAACAAATAACACTGGGGGAAAGTGAGTTTAAGTGACATGTGCAAGGTGACACAGTTAGTCAGTGGCAGAACCAAGACCGGAAGCCAGGCTATTAACTCCCAGTTGAGTGTGTTTCCTACAACTCCTTGTTACTTCTTCTATTAATGTTGTCGGTAGATGGAGAACATTTTAATGACAGACATTGGTCCTTTCATCCTATACTATTAAAATAGTTCAAATTATATTTTAACCTTAATATAATGTTGACTTTTTACATATTTTCCCAACATGGACGAACTTGATCACTGTGATATTGTCACTGAAGGAGGAAAATGGAGCAGAGAGAGAATTTGAGTCTGGTGTCAGGGTTTTCATTATATAATCAGTAAATGTGTTAAGAAAAAAATTATGAAAAAGCAGAAAATGACACCAATTTAATTAATCAAAGTCTCAGATTACTATGATTTGCTTGCCAGAGGAAGAATTTTCACTCTGTCATTACATGACTCAAGAGAAATGAAATATGTGGGATAATACATTCATTTGTAATTCTACAAAGAAGAAATTATCATGCTTCCTAGAACATACCAATTTGATCTATGTCCTTTGGTATGTAGATTGAAAATGCCTTGGCGTAAGGATAAATTATGAAGATTTTGTTTTCAACCAAGGTTCCAACATTTTGTGGTACAATATTCTTTTTTAGCCAGTCCTGGCTTTATTTCTAGATAAATGTAATCCCATTTCTACTAGTATTATCTTCATTCTACATTATTTCAAATGGTACAAATGTGCTTTTACAACATGTATTCCAAAATTAGTGTTGTTCACTTTTGTAACATTTAGACAGAGAAAAACCTGTATAATATGGTCTAAAAGCCATAATTTCTACATTTTCGGTTCCTTTTTCCTATGACCACAACTACCTTACTTCTAGTCTTGGACATATATTGTAGGTGTAGCCCATGTAAGAATCTCAAAATAAGTTGTCTAAGAAGATAAGATGAAGAAAAAAAGACTTTTGGACTTTTAAAAACAGTTTTGTTACATCAGTTCTTTCCTTTCAACCAAGGTTCTTTTTGCATAAAGGACTACTTTTGCCTCCATTAGAAACCATTTTAATCTTTGAGCCTCTGCCTTTAGCTCTAGCTCAACTCTGCGCAGCTCAGAGATTTTCACATTAAGTAATCAAAACTTTTCTCACTGTTTTTCTTGACAGCTCCAAGAAATCCAAGGTCTCGAGCTCCTTTTGTGTGTGCGTGTGCCTTCGATACATGAAACACATCATTTGAGTTTCTTTCTGTGTTCCACAGCAACACATTCACAAGGCTGTAATGTACTTTTGCCTGTTGTTCCTCCCCTCACATTCACTCCTGAAAACATAGCTTAGCACAACAGTGTCCGACTATAGTCTTGATTTGAGATCAGCTAGCGCAGGTTCTATAACCTGAGCAGACACATTTCTTCAGTGGGTTTGAGTGGGACTGACCAAAAGTTTGTGCCAGTTGACTGTTCTTTTCCTGAGATCCACTTTGTCGAGCCAGATACAGGCTTCACCAATCAAGGTCTTTTTCATAAATTTCCCTCCATTGGAGAAAAGTAAGATCTAGAAAAAAGAGTCAAAATTATATATACATGTTTATGTTTTTCAACCTCTTTTAAGGATATTTAATCATAAAAGAAATTCTACAAACAAGAAAGGGTGAGGGTGAGGAATAGTAGCAGGTTTACTTGTAAGGGAACTAATAACAAAAATGTCCTCAAAAGATTTACATATGAATTCATTCACATCAACATTTCCCAGAGGAAAAGACACACCCTAAAGGATATGAGAATTCTAGATAAAACATGTATTCCCAGATCATTCTAATCAGGTTTATACTCAAACGGATAGGAAGTTTCACAAAAAACTTTGCTAGGTACATTTTTACTGGTTTATAAAATAACTCAGATACAAAATCAGTTGAGTGCTGAGTAAATAAATAAGTTCACACAGCAGATAGAACATAACATTGATTTTTATCTGGCATTGAATTTACTGGTGATTTTACTCATTTCTAAAATGCTCTCTTGTCACATGTGGAACTTTACATTAGTTTAATTAGTTCAATTCCACAGGATCTCAGACTCAAGAAATTGTTTTCTTTTGGAAATGAGTTGAAAGAAAGAACATTAAATGGAGCTAATTATTTATCCATGACAATTCTCTCTCATTTCAGAATTTTCATTACTCCTGGTTAAAAATCTAATTTTTTGTTTCTGACTTCAATATCTACGCTTCCAGTTTTGACTATCATTTTTGGCCTCTGGTTTGGGGATTTCAAATGGCATTGTATATTTTCACTTGGATCCTGCCAATCTCATCAAATTTATTACATTTCCACAAATTCATGATCTCTCTTCCTCTCAGGCCCTTCTCTAACTACTTACTCACACAGGCTGCAGAGTCTCCTTTAACTTTTTATTCCCTTTCACTCTAATGTAAGTTAATTCTCTCAATTCAGTTCTCGCTTTGTAATATCTCTTATCTTTGTCTCTGCTGGAGGCCTTTATTTTAAGTGCTGGTACCATGGTCTCCTCTTCCCATGTGTTTTCATCTCTTTCCTTCCTCTTTCTTTCTTTTCTTTTATTCTTTATCTCTACATCTACTGAAGACATACTATGTACAAGCATTTTGCTAGGCTGTGGAACAAAGAACACTGAAAATCACGCTTGCCCTAGAGAAGCTGATAGTACACAAGCAATGACAGTGAAGTCTATAAATTATTGTCCAAACAGATTGGGATTGGTTGCTTAATAAGATAAGCAAAATGTTACATGAATAAGGAGTGATGAGTTATATCCAGGTGCATCAGTAAAGGGCTGAGTTTACATTAAAATATGTGGAGTACTGTGATGGATGAAGAGAGAAGGAGAAAAGCTTATTTAAAGGGAGGAAAAATATAAGCAAAGGACTGGAGGCTTAATCTGATTTGAAAGGATTCTGCCTGGACTGAAATATAGAGTGTGTGGAGAGGAATACAAGGAGATGAGATTAAATCAATACAATTAGAACTCACCTTAGAAGACTCTGAATGAGTCAGTATACTGGGGAGTCATTGATGGGCTTTAATGTAACCTAGCCAGTGTTTTACAGAGATTCATCTGCCATCAGTATACTGAAATGAATTAAAAGGGTAAGGTATTGATGGCAAGTAGGCCAGGTATAGTGCTAAAATGATGTGAATAACAAAGATGAGAACCCAAAGAGGATTAGTGGCGTAGAGCATGGAAATAATTCTCTTTAAAATAAATGGACAGAATAGAGAAGACTTGGTAGCTAATTGGATGGGGCAAGTTGGCTGTGGAATCCTAAAGGGCCCTTGGGGAGATATCTCTAAGAATTAATCAACTTGTTAAATGTAACATAGTATAAGATCAGTTTCTAAATATTGAATAATTGAACAGAAAATAAATCCTGTATGAATAAAGATGTTTAAATAGTAACTGTATAATGCAGAATTACCTGAAGAGAATGTCCAGCAGGACTTAGGCTAAATCTAAAAGTTTCATTGAATGAAGGCTCTCGGTCATGTCTACATACTCTTGTTTTTTTCTTGATCACCTTTTTTTGGGTAGAAAGGTTCATCACATATATTTTCACATATAAATCTGAAAATAAGAATTCAGCTTGTTAAGTGTCCATTAATCATACAATGGCTTATTGAAAGCATTATAATTGTATACACAGAGCTCTCCTACGGTTTATACAAAGCCAGTAGATTGTGTTCAATTTGTTTCAGACAACATAAAAGGATTAAAAGCTACACCAACTTCCTTAGCAATTTAAATTTGTTTTCTGGTTTTATAATAAATAAATCACAAAGTTTATGTATTGACAAAAACCTAGCTAAAAGCTAGTAAAATATCAACTCATTATATATAACAGAAATTCTTATTTCACATTTTTTCAGATATATTTGGTATACAGCCCCAATTGTAGTTCACATTTTCCAAAATATTTAGGACATATTCCTAAAGAATTCCTAGATAAATTATATTGCTGATTACCATAAAATCAGATACCTGGTAAATGATCAGGGGATTTAAATTTATAGGTGATATTTCTGCATTGGAGAATTTCAACTATTAATTGTTCACCATCTGTCTTCATTTCCTTCTTCAATGCAATCTTGATTTCTCCCATTACCTGAGTTTTAACTGTAAGAATTTAAAAAGAAACTGTTAAGGAATATATAGCATTTATTAAATGTTTAGTGGAAAAATTCATTCATACAATCATTTGCTGAGTGTTTATCAGGTTCTAAATACCTTATTACATCCTGTGGATACACAGATGAATAAAATATGGTCTAAGCCCTTAAGGAATGAAAGGTCTAATGGGAGACTGATAAATTATATACTCAAAAAGTGCATAAAGTACAGTGATAAGCTAGTAATAAGTGATGGAGGACATGAAAGTAGATAAATATTACTCAACTATAGATTTTTAGGCTAAAAGAGGTAATAGATGTGATTTTAGGAAGACAGAAGTACATAAAATTATAGGACTCTAATATAATTTATAAGAATGAATGTTACATGAAATATAAGAAGTTGTTTGCCAATAATTGCTCATTGCCAGGCTTCTCAAGAACATTTGTCAACATAACTAAATGTCATTGTGTGTTATTTCTACTTCCTTTTATTTCTTTTATAAAAGAAATAGTGACCAAAGACACATAGTAGTAAAATTGTACAAGGGAAAATACAATGAGTGATTTAAATGAATCTGATGTTTATCTTAGATCTTTATATTATTGAAGAAGTTACGCATGCTAGGTCATAGTCTTTATTTATTTACTCTTTCCTCTATCAACTTATACATTCATCCAGGTATTTGGTCAGCAACAAATATTTTATTTCCCATCCCACTCTGCGATAAGCACTCTGTTAGGAAGAATGGATCGAATGGTAACCAAAACACACATGCTTATTGGTTTTATGGTTTTTCTGTCTATTGAAAAGAAATTCATTAATGAAATATTTTCATCAGTAAATGTACAATTAAAAAGAAAGAAAAGGTTATGAAGTGCCAAAGCATGGTTCAGGAGGGACTGAGGAAGTGCTGCTTGAGTTGAAACCAGAAAGTTGAGAAAAAATTAACTTAGTGAAATAGATGGTTAAGAACATTCTAAAGAGAAGGAACACTGTGTTCACAAAGGGAACATCATGGGCCTGAGGAACTAAATAAATGTCCATGTTATTATAACATGTTGTTAATTGGTGTCATGTTAAGAATTTGGTTTTTGCCTTTAGAACAATAAGAATTTACTGAAGGTCTTTAAAAATAGCTCGGCTGGCATGGCTCAGTGGTTGAGCATCAGCCTATGATCCAGAAGATCGAGGTTCGATTCCCGGTCAGGGCACATGCCTAGCTTGTGAGCTTGATCCCCAGCAGGGGGCGTGCAGGAGGCAGCAGATCAATGACTCTCTCATCATTGATATTTCTCTCTCTCCCTCTCCCTTCCTCTTTCTGAAATCAATTAAAAAACACACATATAAATAAAAGAAAATTAAAATTAAATATAGATAATTTGTTCTCAAATATATTGATCTCAGGACCTACTTATACTCTTAAAAAATGGAGGGCCATCTGAAAACTACTGCTCCATCTCTCAAACCCTACGTGGGATGGGCGGATAAAAAAGAATTCTAACATGGTAAGGAGGGAGAAAAATTCCCACTATTTGGAGCCAGTGGAAGTTGTGAACAGAACTGATCACACTAATGAGAATGATAAAACAGCAGGACAAATTTTTCTGGGAGAAATTCATATTTATAGGTTATATTCCTTTTTTATAAGGCTTAAAACTCCAACACACATATGTAATTTATTGTTGTTTTCCACTTTCTCACTTGGAAAGAAAGGTGGAATTAAAAACTTGCTAATTGAAGTTCTCAAGGCATCACATTGCCTGCTTTTCCCTGTGTGGTTAAATTTACATGCTTCACAGTGTGACACTTGTGAAGTTCTTGGTAAGTTTCTCCTATTTGAAAAAAAAGTTCCAATTTGTTCTTCAATGTTTCTACTAAAGGAAGAAGGACGTGCCCACTGCGGTGGCCTCAAAGGACAAGTGTATCAATTGCCAGCCATCACTGTCAGTCATGCCCGCCCTTTTTCATTGTGTCGGCATGCTTTTTCATTAGAAACAGATACACAGAGAGTGAAAAAACTTCTCTGTGACTGTCTCCACAAGGGCGGGCAGAAACATCAGACCTGCTTGAGCCTTTGGATAAAAAAATAAAACGCACACAGAGGACACATAGGGATGTTTTGTAATTTTGTTTGGAATAGAGAGTAAAAGGCAGTAGAAATATGTTTTCACCAGTCTCTAGGCCTCTGAGTATCCAGAAATTTAAGCTTTGGTTGTATTAAAAGAATAAACATTAATCATATTCTAGAGAAGACGTTTATGCTACATTGTGGCACATACCTCCAATCAGAGAACAGAAAGAAGACGAAGGGATGAGGGATATGGAGGGTATAGTTCAAAAATGAGATGACAGAATAATAGGTGAGGTAAAATTTGGGACTTTAGAACTAAAACACAAATAATCTCATTTAAAAACTATTAATGAGTTAGAAACATCCTGGAACAAAAATTAAATAAGATAGGAATCAGCATTATTGACATAAAGGAAAGAAAATCTTCGTATGATATAGGAGGGAGGAAAAATTTGAAAAAGAAATCCAGACGACCAATAAAATAACGAAAAAGGAACGTGGAAGGTAGTGTGATGTGAGTGCTGATTTCCTTTAAGAAGAGAATTAATTAATGAAATTCAAAATTGAAATATGGTATTAAAAATTATAATTACTCGACCTCTTGAATAATCATTCTTAAATCACCAATATTTTTGTTCCTTAAACTTAGTTATATCTTTGGTAAACTAATATGGCTAGAATACAAGGTGGGCAAAAGTATGCTTACAGTTGTGAGTACTCAAAACAGACTTTATTCTGGTATTATTATCCATAGGAACAACTGTAAACCGACCTTAGCCCACCCCTATATTTATTGAAATTAAACTATTCCTTTTTACTGTGATATATTCTCATTAAATTAAAAAACAATGTAATCATTTTTTGACAAAGAGCAGGAATAACTTAATTCCATTTTAACAAAATAGTGTGCCTATTTCTATAGCTAGCTAAAATGCTCCAACAGCATAATTGTAAAATTGGCCTGTGTTTATTTGCCACAGCTTTCTTTTTCATACTCTCTGGTGTTTTATTCTCCATTAAGATATGTAGTGCTCTTTTCACTTTTTGTTTTCTCAGAAAAAAAGTTTACTTATATATTTTTTGTTTGTTTTTGTTAACCCTCACCCAAGGATATTTTTCCATTGATTTTTAGAGAGAGGGAAGGCGGGGAGAGAGAGAGAGAGAAACATCAATGTGAGAGAGACAGACCCATTGGTTGCCTCCCACATGCACCCCAATCAGGCCAGGATCAAACCCGCAACCCAGGTACGTGCCCTTGACCCAGAATCAAACCCAGGACCCTTCCATCCCGCTCTAACCCTACACTTTAACCACTGACTGCACCAGCCAAGGCTACCTTTATATTATCTTTGAAAAATGTGTGTATGTAATACCTAAATGCACACATTTACACACATACCTATATATCTATGTTTTCATAAATCTAATTTATATTTTTAGAAAAAAATATTTTAAGAAAATATTACAATTAACAAAACATAAGATTTCATAAGAAATAAGGTTAGTAAGCCCCAATTTAGACAAGAAAACAGTGGCTTGGGTGTTCTAAGTAACTTGCCAAATTGTTTAGTGACCCAGGTAGGGCTCTATTCTCTTATGAACACCTTATATTTTTTATGAATAAGATTTTTTAAATATTGACTCATTCATGTATTCATTTAAAAATATTTATTAAAAATGTTATCAGAATGAAATCATTTTCAGGGGCTATTTTGCTATTTTATTTTAGCCAAAAACAGGACCTTAGAAAGCAGAGAAGGCATAGCAAGCAATTCTTTTAGGTGTTTAAACAATAGCTAGAAGTTACTGTCTATATATACACATTAAGTCAATTATGCAGGTTATTTATTTAAACAACAAAACAGCAATAAATATTTTCTTAAATATTCATAATTATATAAGATTCTATGTGGAATTGACTTAAACATACAAAATGATTTAAAATAAGTGACTATTGGTTAAGAAAATATTTCTTTCTTATTTACCTTATTGGCATCTGTAACACTTAACTAGACATAATGTAAATGGAGGTTTACTCTCTCTCAGAATCTAAGAATTCTATTGCAACCTGAGCAGTTTTTGCTAATGCAAGACCATTTTAGGAGGGGAAAAAATATCTTTAGAGGCAGTGTTTAATTAACTGGAAGTGAATAAAATGTGGAAAAGAAAAGAAGGAAAAATAGCACTTTGTAAAAGGAATGTCTGTGCAAGAAAAAAAGCAATAGAATTAATAAAATTCTCATTAACACTTAGATTTCTTTGCATTTGCAAATAAATACTACCTACCAATGTTGCAGGTCACTGTTGCTAGCTAATGAAGTCTGAATTGGTGTTAGATAAGATGTATTTTTAGCCCTGATGGTCTATCACCTCAAAATTTGTTACCTACTCATTTCAAATCTAAGAAAAGTCTAATATGGAATTAAGATGGATTTTAAAAACCAGATATTCTGGCTTCTTGCCTTGTGAAATGGTAGGCCAGTCTTAAATATCTCTACTTTGTATTTTCTCGTCTTATAAAGTGAAAATATGTAATAAGATTATTTATAGACTCTTTATATCTTTCAGTTTTATGGTTTAATAAATTTTTGGACATATTCTGATATTATCTGAATATTATTTAGTCCTGGCCCTGTACAAAACATCTTCTGTTTTAAATAATTTTGTTGTTTACTCAGGGTTTTTAAACCCAGTCATTACAGAAAGGCTTATTAATGTCGTACTACCTGTCAATAGCTAAAGGAGTGATGCATATTTCCTTATGTATAATTGTATTTACCTTCCCCTCCATTGTTTCTATTCTGTCAGTTTCAGATCTAAACAATAATTTTTAAAAATTCCAGCATAATAAAGGCAAATTGTTAGCACAATGCCTGAAATAGTAATTATTCAAAAAGCATAAATTCTTTTTATTTCTCAACATTTGATGCAA